CATTGAGGAACAGTGTGCATAAATAGTTGTAAGATTTGAAATTTTAGTGTTCAATTAAGTACGTTCTCTCGTAGAAGAGGAAAGTTTTACCCCGCAAATTCAATTTTTATGAGCTGATGATCCATTTTTATTCCTCACAGGTGGGAAACTGAATCTCAGCTTACACAGAAATAAGAGGCAAAGCATAGCTTGCTGCACTTAAACCAGAGCGTGGTAAAATAAAGCTTAGCTAGGATAGCCTGCCTGCTCATTATTCTGAAAGCCTCTTTGTTATTTTATCACCCACTTTTCTAATGGAATACTTTTCTGGGTTGTCAGTTGTAAGGTAAATACCTGTTAAGAGCTATATTCTGATTGTGCGTTCACTAAATCTGAGCAGTAGTAAAATCGGCTTCATGTTCTCCAATGTCTCGGGGTGGGTGGGGGTGTGGTGTGTCTTTTCAGATGCCAGTGCCATCCCAAGCACTGGTCCTCAAGGAGGCAACAAGAGACAGCGGTAGGATTTACTGCATCTGAGTGTCAGGCAAGCACTGGACTTAAGGTTTGTGATGGCAATAAAGAGCTAAGGGAGCACGGGAAAGAAGGGGTTCACAGACTCTTTTATGCACTTCACTCTAAGGGATGAATAGGACTTTGAAAGGCAGGAATTATAAGGCAGGGCATTCCATGAATCAGAAACAGCATAGAATGGCACCACTTGAGGGAGGTGTGATTTCTCACAAAATGGGTATTGTGAATGGTACTTGATGGAGGGAGGGAGGAAGCGACTGGTGGCAAAATCATCCAGTCACAAATTCCATATCAAAAGACAGGGATTTCGATGCTAAGCAGAAAGGCAAAAGAACAGAGAAAAACAAAGAAGTCGGTCAGGAACCCTTCTATACACATGAGGTCATCTCAGGAAAAAAAGGTCAAGTTCATGAGTACAGTGATGGCAGCGAGAGAGAACAGTGAACTCCTTTCAAGAGAAAGAGTGTCAAGGCTGGGGAAAGGGAGGCGCTGGGGAGACTTCCTTAAGTTTGTGTTCAGATTATTGAGTAAGAGCCTCTGGGATGCAATGGCTTCGGGAAATAGGATAATCACCTGTTATGGACTCAGAATTTGTTACAACAGAAGACACATCCTGGGATTTCCACTGGACCTGAAACCTAAACTTGAATCATTAGATATAGGTTGCAGACTAATTTCTTGCTCCGAAAACAAAAGCTGAAAGAGCGCAAGATAAGATCATCCCCCCACAGAGCAAGATAAAGGGACAGAAAAGACAGTGAGCAGGTTCTCTCTGTGCAAGCACGCAAGCCTCGTATCCCTCGGCCAGTATAATTTGTCTTATGTACTTTATCTGTGTAATTTGAAGATCAGTGTGTATACAACCAAAAGTAGAAATCTAACTATTGTACGATAGACCTGCTGGCAGGAGAGAATTATTCAGTAACATTTACATGCCTACCTTCAGTTACAAAGCTTTTTCTTATAACCCAGAGCTAGAATTGTTAAAGCCTCAGTAAAAACTTAAACTGTGCATTCTATGCTCCCTTCTGAAACATTGGGTCCCCATGTCTCATGGGGATTTCATTCACTTACTTGGACTCACCGTAGCTGGTCATTTCATTTCCACGGCATTCCAAAAGTTCAGCTTCTGGTTCCTCACTTTAAAGAAGAGAAATCCAGGAGGGCTGCCTGAAGCCCTCATCACTGCAGGTGTATTTCATCACATTGTGAATTGGTGCAGGCTTTCAGCACGTTCATAACAGTTTTTCCAATCAAAACAATAATAAGCTTTTACTGTTGTACATATTATCTGTGGAGATCTTCTGAATGGCTGGTCCGGTGTATAAATCCCTTTCTTTGGCTGTGACAAAATACCCTGACACGAAGCAGAGTGAGAGAGGAAATGCTTATTTTGGCTGACTGTTCCAGGGAGGACATGGTCCATTATGGTGGGGAAAGCATGGCAGAAAGAGCATGAGGCCAGTCATCATATCTCAGAGGGGGGAAACAGAAGCTGGGGCCAGACAGTAAAGCTTCAACTCCCATCTCCACCTCCACCTCGTCCCACTGGCGGTCTTTTCTCCAGCAAAGCCACACACACACACACACACACACACACACACACACACACACACACAC